GGAAATTGCAAAATAGGCCCTTATTTACATTGACTGTTCTTAGTTTATAATTTGCAGTTGATTTTGCTGTTCCTTGAGTTTTTCTTGCTATATGTGAGGAGATTTTCAGATCTGTAAAGGCACCTTATTGTGCTCAGAACGTATAGGAATACTTGTAAAGTCACAAACATAGGCATACAACTGGCCTGAGGATATATTTGAGACTATTACAAGTTTCTTTTGCTGGCAACTCATATAGTTTAGAAGGCAGCAATGACTTTTTTTGCAGCATTACTGAAAGATGATACTGTAGGTTTCTCCTCTGAAAAATGTTGACTTGGATTCTGTGTTGTGGTGCTGGTTCAGTTGCTTTCTGGAGACCAACCCTCTCTCCAAGGTACTACGCTAAACTACAATAAAATTAAGATCAAATTAGGTTTTGTTTCACTGTCAAATATGGCAAGAGTTAAGACTGAAAGTTCCCAAAAAGGAATGGGTAGAGGGTTTTTCCCTTCTTTTAAAGAAGTGTAATGAACTTACTTTGATACTGCCTGATTTTGGATGATTTGTTAAAGATGTATTTGCTTGAAGAATGCAGCAAGATTTTGTAAACATAATAGCTCATATAAATATTTATTCTTCTCCATAGCAAGAAGTCGCTACAGCTTCTTTGAGTGTTCTTATTCCTGTTGGAAACTCAAGAAATTACAGGTTTATTAGTTCGTTGCATCTGCCATTTGTTTTGTGTGTTCATTTTCTGTTTTCCTTTGCAGGTGTCACCATGGATGTTATAATGATTTCAACCACACTCCTGGAGTGTTCTCCATTGCTGGCAATGCTTTATACCATTTACATCTTAAACTTTGTTTTTCAGTTTTACAGATCATCCTTTGATTTTGTCCCATTATCATTTTGTTCATTACAGACTCTTTTGCCTCCAAGCTTGTTCTCTACAACTCCGTCTCAGGCTTTGCATTCAGTTCTTGATAATCTGCTACACATTACATAGTAATGTTTCAACTAGAATTTTTCTTTCCTCTTCATCTTTATTCACAGTGATTAGATTTCTAATGTTCAGTTGCTGGTTTTGCAGGTCTCTCTAAAAGTATAGTCGTACAAGATAACAAAGCACATTATTTACTCCTTCTGGCCAATGTCATTATCTTTTACTACTCCTGTATATACTCGGTCATCCTTAAACCAAGGCTGTCAGGTGTCTGGATCTATTCCAGCACATCTTGCTTATGCTCAGGATGCGAAGATACCATTCATTTGAATTCTTAAATAGCTGTTTGTCTCAGTCTTGACATTTGTGATGAAACTGGAACTTTCCCTGTGTCCGTGGCAATAAAGTTACCTCCATTAGGAAGGTCTGTGTTTACTATTCTTCTTAGCTGTTTCTTGGCAGAAGTGGACAGTTAGTTTCCTTATAAATATTCACTTGAAAGATTTTGACAGGTCTGAAAACCTCTATGCCCCAGTGCCGTATTCAAGACTCATTTCTTTCCTTACTTCTCTATTTTGCTTTACACCTGTGGTGTGAAAATGGCTGAACAGACAATACTTTTGAGAATGGGACTTTTACAAGTTCTTTAGCAAATCTGCAATCTTTGCTGGAAGCTGGATGCATAGTGTTGCACACATTATAGCAGAATTGGAAACACTGGAGCAAAGCACCTGGCTTTTGAAAGTACTGATGCAATGGCTATGATTTTCCACTGTAAGGAAGCCTGGTATAGCCAGTATGATATACTAGTATAGTTTGAGGAGATTGATAGCCCCATACCCTTGCTACGTACCATAGTCTGATGAACATAGCTGCCAATTAAATCTGTGTCTGTATCAAAGTTGCAGAACAAAAAAGGATACTCACCCTAGTTTGGGCTCCCAGGTGGTTCACCGAAAATCAGAGTTATAGGCAGGAGGAATTTAAAGCAGAGAAGATAGGTTATAGAAGGTCAGAAGTAGGAGAGTTTACTGAGGCAGAGATAGATCTCAGATAGTATTTTATTCCTTTTTACTGAACTTGCATATGACGCAAATCCCTGCTTTGAAGGGTAATGTTTCTTCCTGATAATCTGTGGGATTTCTGGCACTGCTTCTTCACTTAAAGCCCAGTCATTTATGACTTTTGACATTTCTGTATGAGTACTGATCCTCTTAGACAACAAATGGGAAAGAAATGATTTGGGAGATGCTGAAAGAAAGCAAAAGGAAATGGGAGGAACAGAGACTGTATGCCAAGATAAGAAGGAAGAACTAGAGCAATGACAGCCATCCTAGGGAAGGCATCAGTGCTGCAGTTCTGAAAATGAGAATATTTTATTTCGTTCTTAGAGTAGTGTACTGCTGTGACCATACTCTCCAGGTCATAGACCTGAACATAAAAAAACTCTGTAATTCTGCCCTCTACAATAAACAAATTTACTGAGGAGAAAAGAAACACAAAATATTTGGGTTTGATCATATTCTCTTGTCCAAAGCTGCACTTCTAAGTTAAATGTATATGTAGGCATGGGGGAAGGAGGGCTGCAGTCATGGTTTTTTTCTTCTCTTTTATCTTTGGGGAGGTGACAGCAGTCTGTAGATGCCAGACCTGGCACAGTGGCAGGAAGAAATATTAGTCTGTACAAGAAGCACATGTTGAATACGTACCTGATTTTTATCTCATGCAGGAAAAAGATGGCAAGCCAAATGCAATGTATCATGAATCATACTGAATCTGTTGGCTGCTAATTAGACAAGTGATGTAGAGTTGTACTAACTGATCTATAAAGTGATACCAACTCATTTACATGTGTAAAATGATCTCACTGCTTCTTCTTTTCTTCCTCTTAGTACGTTTTTCCAATTTCTGTGCTCTGAAAAATAATTTTGTTCTTCCTCTTAGTACATTTTTCCAACTTCTGTGCTCCAAAAAATAATTTGTTTTTTCAGTCAGTGACTGACTAATAGAGCCATGGATATTTTTTTATGGCAACTTCTCAGACCATGTTTTGACCTTGAAAGTTGCTGTAATTGTAGTTGAGATTTTGCATCCAGCAATCATCAGTGGAAACACTGCTTGTTATGTTCTTCAGTTGAGCTGGTTATCGCTTAATTGCGAGACAAAACTGACTCTTGGCAAAGGTTTAATTAATTTTTGAATATAACTCTACTTTAGGTTGTTTGGAAAAAGGTGATAGTCAAATTAGAATTTTTTTAATATCAAAAAGGTTAAATTTTTATGAAAATTAAAATTGTCATTTAATACAAGTTTTTTTCTAACAAATAGTTTTACATACAGTAAATCCTGATGAACTTTTTTATGCCAAGGAAGGAGAAAAATGTAAACAGTTATATGAAGTGATTATTAAGAATTGAGAGGTCAGTCAGAAGACTTTAACATGCAGACATCATCTGTTACACTCAAAATCTTGTTATGGACCAAGGGGAATGCACTTTATATACTGAGTTAAGTATTTATGGTTCATCTACTTAGTTTTGACCGTCTAATGAAATGAAGTCCATATTATCTACTTATTACAGTTTTGTTAATAACATGGTTAAAATCTTATATATAAACTTGCTACTAACTCCCCCTGTTATCTGGTGTTATGCTTTCCCTTCCAGTACTTCTCTACTTACGACTGACTATTCAGTCTTCCTCAGGAAGGGGGAGCAGACTTTAACAGTAATTAGCATCTTGGTTTCTCCACCTCCTCTTCAGTTTTGGAGTCTGCTTGAGGCTACTTTTTTGTATTTTCTTAAGGTTGCTTTCTTGCTGTTCCTCACCACTTCCCAGGCAAAGTCTGAGAGCCGCACGCTGCCCTTCCCCAGCCCCGTGACCCCAGAGGGGCTGTTTGTCCCCCAGTGACTACGTAGGGGTGCCAGCCACCTGCCCCGGGTGCTCCCAGATTGAAGCCAATACAGGGAAGCCACAGGCACGTGGCCACCAGGCAATTGCTGCCACAGCTAAAACCAGCTCCCGCCAAGGCAGGGCCAGACCCGTGATGAGACCCTGTGCTGCCAGCTCTCCACCAAGCCTCTGGCTTTGTGCTAGTGATGGCAAAAATTATATTTACTGGGCTGCAGAACAGAGCATCCCAAACATTTATTTCAATTTTTACCGAGTCACAAGAGATGTTACAGTCTTTCAAGACTTCACGTAAGAATTGATCTCAGTATGAGTTTGCAGTGTTGGATCTTTAATATTTACTGTTGCTGGCACATAGAAGATTGCATATGCAGTTTTGGTCAGACAACTACCTAAAATATTTATCAGTGTGAGAATGTGGTCCTTTGTGTTCAGAACAAATGTTCTTTGGTGGTTTTAAATTATTGAAAAACTTTGCATGAGTGAATCAGAAATCTCATCAGTCATCTGACACTGGTTTGTGATGCTTAACTGTCTTTGCTTAGAAATCACAATAAGAATAGAAGTGAAGAGCAAATGCTAAAAGATATAATTTTTCAGAGTTCAAAGTCCAGATAAGTAAAAAGGGATACAGCCTTGTTTTATTGTTACATTCACCTAGACTCAATTAGACCTGCAGGTATTCATGTATATGTGCATTATTAAATGAATGTGATATATATTTAAAACCCATAGTTTTTAACACATAGAATTTAAAAACAGACTGGGGCAACAATGGACTTTATTGTTTTTTGAACTGCTTTAAACATAGTAAAGTGTAGTACAAACCGGTAATCTGAAATCAGTAACCCTTGCTGTGAATGTGCATTTATAATAGCCAGACTTTGAAAGCTTGTTTTCTATTGACTACTGCTGTGAAGTCTGTTCTGCACTACCAAAATTATTTTTTACTGTATTACATCACATAGAAAAATTTAATGGCTGTTTTCAAGTTCTTTTCACTGTATTATAGGCAATTGAAGAAACTCCAGTCAAAGTACTCCCATATTCTGAGGCTTCATTGAAAACATCCGGCATGGGACGAAGATTTGTTCACTGAATGACACTAAGTCCATAGAATTGCTAGTATGATTTTTAGTAACTCATTTGCCTTTTGCCTTTGCAGACTATGGCACTATTAAGAAAGTACTTGCCCCAATGAACCAGACTTCAAGCAGCTGCCTGCTCGAGGAAATTGAACTCCTGCCAAAAAGTCAGCAAGAGCCCATCAGGAGCCTTCAGATCCTGCACAGCCAGAGTGTCCTTTTTGTGGGCCTTCAGGAACACGTGATTAAGGTCCCTCTGAAGAGATGTCTTTTTTACAAAACATACAGGTATGAAGAATCAGCTGGTTTGATTTGGCTGGAGAAAAGTGCTTATGGGGAGGGGGGAGGAGTGGGGGGGCTGGGTGTGGAAAATGGGAAGTAAAAATTACTGAGTAGGAATCCAGATTAATTACCTCTCTCAGCAATGACTTTCTATGTACACTGTTTATCAGAAGTGTCTCTGAGTTCTTTTACTAAGTTGTTAGGACTAGATGAGACTCTCAAGGAATTACATTGATATTTGTCATTATACAGATTCTGAATTGTGAAATAAAACAGTAAGAAATGGTTCATATAGAAAACAAGTATCTGATAATGTGCAATGTAGCTGCTGGTTTAATATATTTAAAACTTGCAACTTGGACAAATTTAAGTTGGGTTTTTTTAAGCTGTATTATAACTTGAGTAACTTGGGTGACCTCTCTCCTCACCCCTCCTGAATCAATGGACCAAAAGATGGTGACCAGGGGGGTTGAGCCCCTCCCACTGTGAGGGAGGATCAGGTTCGAGACCACCTGAGGAACCTGAATATACGCAAGTCTATGGGACCTGATGAGATGCATCCCAGAGTCCTGAGGGAATTGGCTGATGTAGTTGCCAAGCCA